CTCTCTCTCTCTCTCTCTCTCTACTGCAGCAAGGTGTTACCGTCATTACAGCCAACTTAATCATAATATAATTAATAATATGCGACTTGTTATTTAACCGTTTAAGAACACTTCGTAAAGTAAATACATGTAGTTGACAAACTTGAATAATTTATTTCAAGACAACTTTCAGGTTTCATCTTTCAGTTTTATCCTTTAGTAGCGTGATCCCTCCTGCCACGCGCATTCCCAGCTCAAACAAACGCAGGTCGGTCCATTTCACCCTCTGGCGCAAGCCAAGGCCGAACCGACATAACGTGTAATTCTTCCGCAGTATCTATTCGGAGACGTCTCCGACGGAGATAGACCAATCAAAATGCTTTGTGCCTCTAAACCAAGTAAAATAATCTGAGGGGTTACGGGCCATAATTTAATATTTTGCAGTTAGGTTTGAAATGTTCCTGAAAATAATTGATTCGCGACAGTTTTAGAGGCTATATGTGTGATCTGCAGCAAACAATACGCAGTTTGACCCTCCAAAGCAGTGCATCTGTGTGCGGGAGTGCGTCTCCGAATTGTTCCTAGGTGCTCAACGGAGACGTCTCCGAATACCTTCTGCTCGTAATTTTCTATTTATAACTTCCTGGTACCCGGTACTGGTAAAGGGCGCCCGATAAAAGGAGAGAGCGGAGTGCCCGTATTGCATTATCTCGTGCATTCAGCCTACCTGGAGATAATATTTGGGACTTGGAGCCGTTGCCCCACAGGTAAGAAACAGGAATCTTTAGCTTCAGGCCTAGCCTACTCTATTTCACGAATAATAATCTGTATTATACAGCCATTCATGTAATTTGAAAACTCACAGAAGTAAGCCTGGTATTTCCTATTGCGTTGTGCGTGGGCCCCAATGTTCACCACTTTTACGTTTGCTATTGTCTTTTACCTAGCTGCTGCTATTCGTATTAATTGTGAGGCAGCGTGGTGGAATCAGGCTCTCGTCAAGTTTTGGGCATGTAGAGTTATTGGTATCATCTTAAAGCTTGTTTACTTGTCTTTATTTGGATGAAAAAAAAATCCATTTATCTTGAATACATGTCGAGATATTTAAAAATGAAGGAGGTGGGGTCACCTGTTTTCAGAGGTAAAATTAGTGAGAAAATGGCCGCCAAAGATTAGTTATTTCATTAGCTTAAAAGTTCGTGGTAACTGAAAATTTACATTTTCTGTGTCTTTAATCAACGTTTTTCAGAAAATTCCACAAATAAATTAGTTCTTTAATGTGCATGAAAGGTGTTGAGCAAAAAAACAAAAATTTGATAAAAATTCACAAACCTACGACAAAATGCAAGCTTCTTCACTTTGATTATTTTGACGAGAGCCTGATTCCACCACGCTGCCTCACAATTTTGAGCTGGAGAAAGGTAGGAAGGAATGGGGCATAGTAGGTATTTTTTTTCTTCTTAGTTTTGTTTTTGCTTACATTTTTGTTTGTTTGTTAGATCTAGTTTGTTTGATGTTGGTTGGTGGGTTTTTTTTTTTGCTGTAACAAAATCGTTCAGCACAAAACCCGGTTTTTAAAGCACTTTGCACTGTACTCACAAGGAAGTAAATTACATCGTAAGGTCGTGGGTTCGAATCCCGTCAGGGACCCGACGTTGTGTCCTTGGGAAAGGCACTTTACACGAATTTTCCTCACTTCACCCAGG